ACGGGGAAAAAAAAATCCCCCCCCCCCCCCCCCCTTGGATCAGTAAATGTGAAATTGTATTGATTGAAATTCATGTACAAGTACTGTTGACATTTCCGAGCTTACAAAAGATGTACAAACGATAAGATCTAAAGACCTATCGCTAAAGACTCGAAATGAATCAAAACGTTAGGATACAAGGAAAACATAATTTTTCTTATATAACAAAGCAGCTTACAGCAAATTCTGAGGAAGAAATCTAGTTCACTGAATTTCCTTATTCCGAGATGAGAAAGAAGAGTTGTTACCCTATATCTAAGATAAGGGGTGATAGTCACGCTTCCTAAAAAAATTTGGGCTTGCCAACTTGCTTGTGCTTGAATCATTGGAAATCTGAGTATCGAAAAATCCCTCAACAGCACTCTTTTCTCTTTTTGTTTTGGACTTGAGATACCTTGACTTTAGTGTTAGCTGGTAATAGAACAGGACAAATAAAGAAAATGTGTTATTCATTACTAGTTGATATGGTGATGAATTTTAAAAATTATTCTAAATTTCGATGTCCTCAATTGAAATTTTTAAAATCCATTAAAATTTAGGTATCCTCAATTGGAATTTTAATAAAATTCCATGAAATCCTTTAAAATTTAGATATTTGTCAATAATTAGTGGATTTATAAATATTTCATTAATTGTGGGATTTTAAAAGATTTGGATGGATTTCAAGAACACATATAATCAAATCTTTTGAAATTTCGATTTTTATGAAATTTGTGAAAATCTATTCAAATTCACGTAATTCATTAGGATTTATAATCTTTTAAAATCTGTCAAATTATTAATTGAGGACACCGTTAATTTGAACGAATTTTCTAGGAATTGCAATTTCAATATGATAAATGAAGCTCACCACGATGAACCTTAGCTTCAAATCTTAGCCTCTATCCGGTATTTGATGGTTAACTAAAATCGTCTACATGAATGGCTTAAATTTTTTAAGACAAACATATGACTACCGATAGAATCATCTCGACAACATCTTTCATCAATATCGACCTCAACCTTGCCAAGACAAACAATCGTAATTTTGCACAAAGCGGAAACATTATTTTAAGAACGAATGAACGATAGCGACCTCATACTCGCCATTCCACAGCCGAAAGCGTGAGAGCGATGCCACGGGCCAACTCACGGAAGGTAACAAATTAATCGAAGTTACGGAGAACTTTGTATGTTGTAGCTTTTGTCTAGTGTACTTAATGAAAGGTGGTGGGAAGAAAGTGATTATTCAAAAGTAAAGCCAATATCTAATCTTTCTGGATGTATCCTTTCAATTATAACCCTACTTTTCCCATGAATTGTAGACCAAAGGTTAGCTATGAACAGTTAGCCACACACTTGGTTGATTCTTGATAATGGTCCTTTTCTTTTGGCATCAACCATCAACCTCTTTTGGAATGCCCACTCCTTCTATTTGCATCAAAGTAGATGTAACTCGGGTCGACCAGTCCATGGCACCGCCCATACGAGCCATGCCATGCCATGCATGGACCCAAAGCATATCGAGCAGCCCGACATATTTTTATACCCTTAAAACAATGCCCTCTAGTCAATTAACAAAAAGAGTTGCTTATGTCGATTTTGAAATATTGCTCTTACACGAGATTGTTAGATCACAAAGTGGAGTCTCAGAAGAAAGAACAAATCTATAAGAGCTACAAACCCGCATAAATACACAATATATAAATGATGCATCGAGTACTACTTGATGTGAGAAAGACAAAACATAGATACAAGGAAACTTCAGAAGAACAAAGACTCATAGTTCAATTTATTCATATTTTACAAATGAGCCAAAATATGCCACTGCTTTAAAGAAAAATACATGTAAAACCACACTCACATCCCCACATTCAAAAGCTAATGGAGTAATTAAAAACACTTTTTTCCTTTTAATCCATAAACCACTTTTTCAGCTCTGATTTAAGCTCAGTCGCCTCATTCTCTGGCAAAATTGCCATAACAGTCCTTCCTCCATTCTTCGGTGGCCCCGGGAGCACCAAGACAGCTCCTTCATCACCAACACCATCAACTCGATAACTAACATAAATTGGCTTCTCTCCGCGGTAATCAATTTCATAAAACTTTGCTTCTTCAAGATTCGCGAAAGTTAAATTCCCGCCATAAACAATGAAATCAGATACTCCGTTGTCTTTCTCGATTGCATTTTCGATCTTTTCTATTTTATCAATTGCTGCATTTTTCATCAATGCCGCTAGCTCACTAGGGTTGGCTTCCACAATGGGATAAGCAGCTTTAACAACACTTATAAGTAGATTATTCCCATCTGCCCTGTTTTGTTCCATCATCTTGCATATTGTCACAACTTTAGGTTCAGATTCAGGTCGAATTTTGCCTATGCATTGCCAAATGACAGCAGAAAGAGCTTCAAATGGAGAAAAATCTGTGCCATTGTTACTTATTTTTGACTGCAAATGGCTCAATTGTGTGGCATTAACACTAAAGGAAAATGCTTCCATTTTACAGTTATTGACAGGTATCCAAATGTCTCCAACCGGGCCCACCCGTTTGACGGAAAGTGGATCTTCCGTATTCGTTAATGGGCTTTCAGGATTTGTGGAGTTCGTTTTCAAATGAGCCAAGTTAATGGGCCTGTTGGGCTTTTCACCTGCTACCACTTTTCCCAACAGGTTCAAGAATTCTGCAGCTGAGAATGCATCTCCAAGAACATGGGCCCAGCTCAGGCCCATAGACATTCCTCCACATTTGAATTTAGTGAACTGTACATAATTAATAATTTAATATATACCTATATTTAATTATAAGAAGTATAAAACTGAAATTCTATCAATTGGTCCAGCAAATAATTGCAACAATGAGTAAAAGTTCAAATATATAAGAAAAACCAATTAGTCTTTATCAACTAATAAAATTCAGTTTATTTTTCATCTTTTGGAGGTAAATGTTTACCTAATGGACTTTTTTTATCCAGAGCCACATGAACCGAATCAGAATCTGATTGAACTAATTTGTCTGGTTTGATTCTCATTATAACTTAATTCGTTTGGTTCTCACCTATGATGCACCGACACGATACTTCGTCAAAACATTAACTAAAATATTTAAAAATCTTCATTTATATAGTATAAATTTAGTTTTACACTTATTATTATTGTTGTTGTTGTTGAAATCTTTTAAATATGAATAAATATTTGTTATTTACCAATAAGTTTGAGTTAAAAATATATAATATTTTTAATAAACAATGAAAAATGTTTATGGTAGAGTGTCCGAGTGTCAATATCAACACATGTCGGATACTGACACACTGCTCTAATTGAAATGTCCGTACTACAGAGATTTTCACAATTGAGAACAAAACGATTCTGGTTTGATAATCACAAAGTTTCAATAGTCTCAATAATCAACACATTTATCACCTCAGATAGAGCATGAAATTAAATCAAAAAAATTTCGTAACATTTTGTTATTTACAATTTTTTTTCTTATAGTATAAAAAGAATCAAATTGGACCAACCCTGAACTATTCAATTTTGGTGACCGTTTGATTCCTTTCGTAGAATTCTTGTCGGCACTAAGTCCATCCAGTTCTCATAAAATTTTATCTATTCAATATGTGCCAAACCCGCTTTAAGAAAGAAAATGAAGTTAAAATCTTGTCGACTCATACCTGTAACGGTCGGAGAAAATGATATTTCGGGACCAATGATCTGGTTTGGAGTCAGATACTTCTCAAGGGAGGCGTTCTCCTTGGTCTTCTCCAACCATTCGTCCATTGTTTTCTCACACTTCGCTTCAATGAATTTCACACCACAGTCACTGTATTTGATGTAAGGCCGGCCTGACTCGTCTCTACGAAACCGTCCACAGATAACTGGGAAAGAGTTTAGCAATATGAACAAGGGCTCCTTTATCTTGTAGGTGGTCAAGCCCTCAAAAGCCTGCTTGCCAAAATAGTAGATTCCTTTCAAGTAGTGAAGCTTCATTGCCAAGTCCATGCCACTCGGCTCGTGAACCATGTCAGGCTCGACCGCGTTTCCCGGCCCAACGGAGGATAGTTTTATGTCGTAGATCAAGCCATCTGCCATGGAAGATTCCACACGTAGCTGATATTAGGGTTTTGTTTATAGAAAGAAATAAGAGTTATGCTATTCGGGGAAAGAAAACTGCCAAGGCTTGGAACACTTCCAAATATACTTATTAGAAACCTGATTTGGGGTAGGGTGGACTGGGGTGGGGCATTTGGTACCTATAGTTTGGATCATGTCTCTGTCTGATTCTCTCCCTGTCTCAATATACTTCTCACAAGTAAGTCCCTCACCGGCGGCTTTAATTTAATTTACTTAAATTTATTTCTTGTACTCATTTTAAATCATACCGTCATACAATAAAATATTTTACACGTAAATTCAAAAATTTTCCTTACATTTTAACCACAAATTCTCCAAAAAAAAAAAAATACTATTAAAAATATATTAATTTTTTTCAAAGTGAAGGCAACCAAACAGGAGCTAAATTTGATTCACTTGGTAATCAAAGTTCTAATATAATTACAATTTTGTAGTGACAACAAGGCTAAAATTCCAAGTATATCGTCGACTCTTAGAACCATTTGGCATGACTTTGAGAAGCCCGAAAGAGCTTTAAAAATCCAAAAGCTGCTCTTTTACCCATTTGATCAATTTTATAAAAACGTTTCTTTTTGTTATAGGAGCTTTTGAAGGAAACTCATCCAATATAGCTTCCTGTAAAAACTCTTCTGAAAGAAGATGCTTTTTAAAAGTTAATTTTCCAAAAAATAAGGTAGTTTTTTCAAGAAGTTCTTCTATAAAAAGCAGAAACCTTGTCAAATGATCATTTAATACCATATTAATATCTAATAGTTCAATCCATTATAGAAGAGTCGCATATATTTGTTTTAGGCTAATTTGACAGGATTTTTGGCTAAGAAAAACTAATCTTTAATACGACCCGTGCGGTTGGTACAATATTTCAAACTTCAATCAATAAGACAGGACGAAACTTTAACTTCATTTATTTGACACCACTCAATATTGTAGTCCAACTCACTTAAAAGAGCATGGTGGCAAGGACTCTAAAATTTTGGGTGCCTTGTGTTACATTTTGAACTGGTACACTTTTCGTGTAATTAAAAAAATATATTAAAATAAAAAAAAATATATTTAATAATATTATTTCTTTACAAAAATATGACATCTAAATATTTTTTTACATGTCATAAATAAGAAAAGTACAAGTAAAGTTCAAAAGCACTTCTTAAACTTCATCAAAATTCTTATGTTGTCGACATAGAACCATCCAAATCACTAACCTCTTCGTGCAATTTCATAGGGGGCAAACCTTGAAACCAAAAACAGCAAATATCACGTATAAATTTTGAAATGCTACAAATCATGTAAATCTATTTCTTCTCACATTTCTAGAAGTAAACTCACTAATTAAACTTTCGTAATCAATATGTTCTACCAAATTTTGGTCAATATATATATCAAAGCTAACATATTCAATCGTCCATGTAATGTTGTTGATCGCAAGTAAAATTTTAATAAATTCAATTTTGACACACTTCTTTCGACAGATGAGGCAGTAACAAAAATTGTCAATGGATATTGTGCTCTTTACCTTAAAATAGTTTCTTGATACTACGATATATTAAAAAAGAAACTAATTTAATATAATTTTTTTTTTTTACTCTTTTTTCATAAATATTAATGGGCCTTTAAAGTTTTAACTTAACATAATAATAATAATAACTTAAAATTTTAAGAAGTTTTATCCAATTTACATTTATATTATTCAGATATTACCCTCCCAAATTTGTGAAAGAAGGAATTAGGTCAGAAACTCCCAATCTGACAACAAAAATAATATACAAGGAGGTTCTCATCGATTAAAATTAGTGTCAATTAAAGTATTATTTTCTGTAACAAGTTTTGTTGGACTAATGTTGCAAACCCACGTGAAACGCACATGTAATAAGTGGGTGCTAAAATAGATATAAATATTTAATTGGTGAAAAGAGCCAATGAGCCAAGCCCAACATGCTAAATATTTGTTATGTTAAATTAATAGGAGTCGATATCAATGGAAATAAACAAAAATTAAATTAAATTCCGTTTTTCGTACTATGTAGATTGTTGTATAGCCAGCAAACACGATGATTTATAAAAATTAAATTAAATTAAATGATAATTCTATTATAAAGCATGTCAGAATCATCAAAATATTGAATCAGCCTTTAATAATCAAGAGATAGCACATGGGTTGTGTTTTCTATACGGCAAAAATTGTACGCGAAAGTTATTGTCTGCATATGTGGCGCGGAATTAGACATTTTGAGATCTAACATACAAAAGTAGAGCTGAAGATCAAATGTAGCACGTTTACATCAGCTACATTTCTTCCTCGAAGTTGATTGGTCCTATCTCTTCCTCCCTATCACTTATGCTTCATAGTATTATGTTTATATGTCTTTCTTATTGCATATTAGAATCTCAATGAGATCATAGGTAAGTGTATAAGAGACTTTAAATGAAATCAACAATATATATATTGATATAAAGGCTACTTGTTTTTGGTTCTTTTAAAAATCATAGCAAATGTTATGGCGAGTCAAAATAGCCCATGTGAAGATGCTTCTTTTTAGGACATTTTTTTATGCATGTTTGACACATATTTAACTTTTTTTTTATGTCCGTTTGGATCATTCAATATGTCTATGATGTAGTTTTCAAAACGAGCTTTGAATTGATGTAGATGATTTATGGCTTCGGCTAGCATATGATCGTCGAAATTTTTTTAAACATAGAGCGTTATGAAAATTCTTGAAATAATAGTTTAAAATCAGCTGCTTTGATGCGCCTAACATTTGCGGTAACTGTTTCATGTGCTGTCAGCGAAGTGAAAAATTAGGTCAGGAACACTTCAAAATAATATTAAAAATATAGTATTTCAACTTCGTTTGATATCCTGTAATGATCCTAGAAATTGAAACAAAAATGTAGAAAATTTAATTGTAGTCAAATAGGGGCTTAATTCATACAAATTTTAATAGCGTGTCAAAGTATAACAGTAGGAATTGATTTTAGTCCAAAAAGTTTGGGGATTGGAATGTCATTTGGAGGCAATTTAAATTACATTTGGGTTCCATTTCAAAATCCTAAACACTAATCTTAAAATCAATGATCAAGCCTTCCAATTATCCAATAGCATAAATGATCAAATATTATTTCTTTACAAAAATATGACATTTAAATACTTTTTTTAAATGTCGTAAACAAGAAAAGTACAAATAAAGCTCAAAAGCACTACTTGAATTTCATCAAAATTCACATAATATCAACATAAAACTATCCAAGCCACTAACCTCATCGTGCAATTTCATATAGGCAAACCAAATCAAAAACAGCAAATATCAAGTGTAAATCTTGACATGCTACAAATCATGTAAATCTATTTCTTCTCGCATTTCTAGAAGTAAACTCACTAATTAAACTTTCGTTGTCAATATGTTCTACCAAAATATATATCAAAGCTAACCTATTCAATCGTCCCTATAATGTGGTTGATCACAAGTAAAACTTTAATAACTTCAACTTTGACAAACTTCTTTCGACGGCTGCTGCAGTAACAAAAATTGCCAATAGATATTGTGCTCTTTAACTTAAAATAATTTCTCGATACTACGATAAATAAATAAAAAAACATAATATAAATTTGTTTACTCGTTTTTCAAAAATATTAATGTGCCGTTTAACTCGATATAATAATACTTAAATTTTAAAGAAGTTTTATGAAATTCACATTTATATTATTCAGATATTACCCTTCCAAATTTGTGAAAGAAGGAATTTAGGTCAGAAACTCCCAATCTGACAGTAAAAATAATGTGCAAGGAGGTTCTCATCTATTAAAATTAGTTTCAATTAAAGTATTATTTTCTGTATCAAGTTTCAATTCTTTGAATGGGATCGATTTTTTTACATTTGTTTGAGTCATTGTTAGTTGAAAATATCAACAGCACATGAAAAATCAAATTAATGTTATAAACCCACGTGAAACGCACGTGTTATTGAGTGGGCGTTAAAAAAGATATAAATATTTAATCGGTAAAAAAAGCCAATGAGCTAAGCCCAACATGCTAAATATTTGTTATGTTAAAATAATAGAAGTTGATGTCAATGGAAGTAAACAAAAAATTGAATTAAATTCCATTTTTCGTACTATGTTGATTTTTGTATAGCTAGCAAACATGATAGTAATGACCAACAAATTTGTTCTCTTATGACAATGATGATTTATAAAAATTAAATTAAATGACAATTCTATTATAAAGCATGTCAGAATCATCAAAATATTGAATCAGCCTTTAACAATCAAGATATGGAACATGGGTCGTGTTTTCTATACAGGCAAAATTATCATTTTCTTTCGAGGCACGAAAGTTATTGTTATGCAGGGGGCGAAAGTAGACATTTTGAGTTAGGAATACAATCAAACATACAAAAATAGAGGTGAAGATCAAATGTAGCACATTCCTCGAACTTGATCAGTCCTATTGCTTCTTCTCTATCACTTATGATTCACAGTATTATGCTTATATGTCTTTCTTATTGCATATTAGAATCTGAATGAGATCATAGGTATGTATGTGAGAGACTTTAAATGAAGCTAGCATGTTATGAAAATTCTCGAAATACTGGTTTAAAAGGGGCTACTGTGACACACCTAGCATTTACTACAGTTGACTGTTTCATGCACTGTCAACGAAGTGAAAAACTAGGTTGTCAGCACTTTAAAATAATGTTAAGAATACGATATTTTGACTTCATGTGACATCCCAAAATGACCCTAAAAATTGAGACATAAACATAAAAAATTTAATTGTAGTCGAATAGGGGCTTAATTTATACAAATTTTTATAGCGTGTCAAAGTAGAAAAGTTTGAATTGATTTTAGTCCAAAAAGTTTAAGAATCTGAATGTCATTTGGATGTAATTTAAATTACATTTTGATTCCATTTCAAAATACTAAACACCAATCTTAAAATCAACGACCAAGCCTTCCAATAGCATAAATGATCAAGTAATATTTCTTTTAAAAAAAATATGACGTTTAAATTTTTTTTTAAACGTTGTAAATAAGAAACTACAAGTAAAGCTCAAAAGCACCTCTTGAACTTCATCAAAATTCATCTGTTATCAACAAGGAACAGTCCAAGCCACTAATCTCTTCGTGCAATTTCATATTGGCAGACCTTGAAATAAAAAATGGGAAATATCACGTGTAAATCTTGAAATGCTACAAATCATATAAATTTATTTCTTCTCACTTTTATAGAAGTAAACTCATATTAAACTTTCATAATCAATATGTTCTAGCAAATTTTGTTCAATATATATCAAAGTTAACCTATTTAATCATCCTTGTAATGTGGTTGATCGCAAGTAAAATTTTAATAACTTCAATTTTGACAACCTTCTTTCGAGATGCAGCAGCAACAAAAATTGTCAATAGATATTGTGCTTTTTACCTTAAAATAATTTCTCAATACTACGATAAATTAAAAAACAAAATTAACTAAATATAAAAATTTTCGCTCTTTTTTCATAAATATTAATGTGCCTTTAACTTCACATAAAAATAATAACTTAAAATTCTAAGAAGTTTTATCCAATTTACATTTATATTATTCAGATATTACCCTTCCAAATTTGTGAAAGAAGGAATTTAGGTCAGAAATTCCCAATCTGAGAGCATAATATATAAGGAGGTTCTCATCTATTAAAATCAGTTTCAATTTAAGTAGTATTTTCTGCAACAAGTTTTGATTCTTTGAATGGTATCGATTTTTTAACAACATTTGTTAGAGTTATTATTATTATTTGAAAACTTCAATGACACATGAAAAATCAAATGAATGTTACATACCCACGTGAAACGCACGTGTTATTAAATGCGTGTTAAAAAGGATATAAATATTTAATTGGTAAAAAAATGCCAATGAGCTAAGCCCAACATGCTAAATACTTGTTATGTTAAATTAATAGGAATCGATATCAATGGAAATAAACAAAAAAAATTAAATTAAATTCCATTTTTTGTACTATGTAGATTGTTGTATAGCTAGCAAACGTGAACCACGACTTTATTCTCCTATGACAATGATGATTTATAAAAATTAATTTAAATCAAATGATAATTCTATTATAAAGCATGTCAGAATCGTCAAAATATTGAATCAGCCTTTAATAATCAAGAGATGGCAAGTGGGTTGCGTTTTCTATACAGCCAAAATTATCATTTCTTTTTGGACACGAAAGTTATTATCTGCATATGCAGGGATGAAAGTAGACATTTTGAGTTAGAGTACAAAACATATAAAAATAGAGGCGAAAATCAAATAGAGCACATTTACATCGGCCACATTTCTTCCTCGACGTTGATCGGTTCTATCCCTTCCTCTCTATCACTTATGCTTCATAGCATTATGCTTATTTATCTTTCTTATTGCATATTAGAATCTCAATGAGATTATAGGTAAGTGTGTGAGAGACTTTAAATGAAATCAACATCATAAATGGTGATATAAAAGCAGCTTATTTTTAGTCCTATTAAAAATCGTAGAAAATGTTAAGGCTCGTCAAAGTAACCCGTTTGAAGAGTTAGATGCCTCTTTCTAAGACGTATTTTTTATTCATATTTGACACATATTTAACTATTTTCTATGTCTGTTTGGACCATTCGATATGTCTATGATTTAGTTCTCGAAACTAGTCTCGAGATGACTAAATGATTTATGGCTTCGGCTAGCATACAATCATCAAAAAAAATTAAAGTTAACATCTTATGAAAATCCTCGAAATACTAGTTCAAAACGAGCTATATTGACACGCATAACATTTGCTACGGTTGGCTTTTTGTGTGCTATCAACGAAGCGAAAAATTAGGCCGTAAGCACTTCAAAATAATATTAAGAATACAATATATCGACTTCATTGGACATCCCGTAATGACTCTAAAAATTGAAACAAAAACATAGAACATTTTATTGTAGTCAAATAGGGGCTCAATTTACACAAATTTTTATAGCATGACAAAGTAGAAAAGTAGGAATTGATTTTTGTCCAAAAAGGTTGGGAATCTTAGGATCCGTTTGATTGAAAGAATGAAATTTGAGTAGAAAGAAAATAAATTTTAGAGAATTGAATTGCCTATAACTTGTTTTATGGGAATTGTCAATTAAATATGGTTAATTGGTATAATGTTCCGCCTAAAAAATGTTGAAATTTTTCATCTTTTGATATTTGTTTGGCTTTGTTTTCCATAGAAATTATATATTTTTTTTCGAACTATTGGTGTTTGATAGCCATTTTGTAAGGAAAAAATTAGGCAAATATTTTATGTGGGTTTGTTGGGTTTGATATTGGTGTTTGAAAGAAGATGAAGCCCCTTCAAAGCAAATATCTGCCCCTTCAAAGCAAATATCTCAGATTTTATTATTTTATTACTTTCCCAATTTTATATCAATTAAAAATCAACATATAAGGAACCGGGAATTTTTCTCCATGATGAAATTGCGGTGAGGGTACTTCATAGCCAATTTCCTTTTTCCTTTTTTCCTTTTTCTCTTTTTCTTTTTTTCCTTTTTTCCTTTTTTTGGCAAAATATGTGCATTTTGGTCCTTTTTAAAATTTCAAGTCTTAATGGTGATGGTTGACCTAAGTCCCTACTCTTTTTAATAATATTGATCTTTAATGAGATAGTGTAAAAAACGAAAAAATTAAATTGAAATTCTCTACAAGAACTAGAACAATTAATGGACAGTAACACGTTACTAATAACATTACACAATAAAGAAGATATCTCAAATATCAAACCCAACAAACCCACAGAAAATATTTGCCACGTTGTTGCAGTCCAAACCATTGTCATAACATAGCAAAAAATTACTGCACACTAATTGACAAAAGACATCCACACCAAGGGATATAAAACACTGCACAGTATTTGTTACGTGTGTGCATTACAAAAAACATTCAAAGTACTACTTATGTGGATTAAGCTTTCCAAATACATACAAGTTGATACATACTAATGCTATAAGTCATGTACAGTCTAAGGTAGTGGAGGCAGATCACAACCAAACTTGTCAAACACCAAAGCACGCATGTATTTTGTACTGGTCACATTCATAGATGCTTTAGCCAAACCATCGTCGGATCAAAAGGCTTTCATGACTTGCATGATGCCGTCCATGTCTAGGTTCATGGCTTCTAGCTTCTCTAGAATCAACTGCCAGTTGACATGATTTAGTATATCTAGCGCAGTTTGCATTTCCATAGCCTAAGCAATTTTTGTAGATGAATCGGCAATCCTCGATAGGGTGATAATACTCTCATCCATCGGTTGTGCACGTCGACGCTTAGCTTTGTTGGTCCCTTCTTCGACGGTACGCTTACGAGCATGAATTAGGCTATGATCTATCTCCACATTTTCCATATCTACCTCATTCACACTTTCATCGGTAACTATATAAAAGATATAACAACTTGTAAGAAGTTTATACACGAATACAATCAAAGTATCGTACTAAACATATTGCATTCCATTCATTGGGGAGAAATGGTCAAAGCCAGGCACTGTACGATCTCCAGTGGCAGCATCATTGCCGAAGATAGTCTCCATCTCATCATATCTTGGACAAAATTTGGTCCTCTACTTTTCAAATTCTGGCTTTCCCTACAAAATAACCTTGTGAGTGAATTGTAACTGTTACAAAACATCTATATAGAAAGATTTTATCAGTATCAATGTCAAAAATGCATCATAATTCATACCTTAATAAAATCGTCCCAAGCAATGGCATCGGCTACAGTGCGTCCAATTTCAAGATCTAACCCAAATTCGCTCATATTTAGCAATAGGCAAACTTCAGCATGCTTTTTTTTTAAGAGTCTTCAACCTTGCCCTTACATTTTATCTAAGACCATGACCTCGCATCCATTGACAACCCTCTCAATTGTCGTAGACACTTGAAACGAAGTAAGGCTATTGTCACTGCATTTGTGCCCAGCCAACACTTTCCCAGTAAGTGAAGTGATCATATAACCATCAATTCCACCACTCCGACGTACGTGACGAGTCCTAGCATTAGGATCCACTTGCAATGTACCAAAATAAATGTCATTCCCGTTCGAAGGGGGTGGTCGATCTGGCAACTCAAAAAGGGCCCAGAGAGCTTCGTCAATTCTGTGTCATCAACGCAATCACTTGAAAATAGAAAAATGTCAATATTAGCATACGTAGAAGGAACAATAGTGTTGCTTGAAAACAATCTAACAACAATATAAACCAAGCAAAGAGATTTGAAGCTACATCATAGATACTAATGTAGATAGCCTTGGAAATGAGAAAACATTACAATAGAACAAGCATCAAAGATAATGTTACAACAAAGCAACTATAGAAGAAACCTTAGCATGAGACAAGAATATTAGAAAGTTTATCTCCAAATATTATAGGGAAACACGAATAACGAAATACAACATAGTATATTCAATCGAAATCAATTTTCGCATCATGACTTGGATGGTAAGCGACCCACATGTCATCAGCCATTGTATCCCTAATACTATACCATGCAACTTCTGCTGTGAAAGATATAGGAGCATTTGTTGTATCATCTTCGGGTGCATCAACATGTCTAGGGTCAATTTCATCATCACTAGTATAATAGTCATCGTTACAAAGATCCTCTGCGTCAAATCCTTACGAAGTTGTGACTAGCACAACAAGCAAGGACAATCCTTGCTTATGTCTTAATATCGTGGTATGGTTGATGCCTCAGATATACGAATCTTTTTTATGTAGAACAATAATCCTCTCCACAACATTTCGTAGTTATGAATGTCGAAAATTAAATAGCTCTTTCTTGCTTTTAGGCCGATGTCCCTCAAGGTCACTATGATGGTATCAAGTCCTATGGTAGGGTGTAAGAAATCCTGGAACCATGGGGAATTCAACATTGGCAAGATAATATACATATTCCACACATGGTTGTTAAGTTGTCGTTCTTTATTGAAATAAGTGAAAGACACATTATCGAACAAGATGTAGATCTTACCAACAGGAATTGTTAACCCATGACCTTGTCGTAAAGTTGCACTCCTTAACAACCGATAAGCGTGGGCGGATCCCTCCTAACCAGTAAGCACATACGTAAACTTCATATCAAATGTATAAGCGACTAAAACAATCTGAGTTATCATTTGCTTCCTATTGCAATACATTGCTTGTTCCTCTAATGTGAGTACCATTAACTGCCCCCACAGGATCCTAATATGAAAATCAAAAATTTTGGTTACAAAAGAAGTACTGATAGTAAAGGAAAAATAAATGAAGTTAAATAGTACCACCCGACCTGAAAAATATTGGAACATGACTTCACCTTATCCTTCTTATATGGTGAGTTATGAATAGTGGCATTGTTCACAATGTCTCTATCCAATCCAAGGCAGGCCTGTAAAACTCTATGGAAGTAGTAACTCACTATTTGAATAAACGTGAAGAACGTAAAACTTTCAGTTCGATTCAGTGGTCATGTCCAACGGTGTTGAGAAATATAGCCACTTGTTCCTCTACTTTGACAGATCTATTGTCAACGAAACCATACGTTCGTACACGAGCACATAATCTTTGAAACGGAGCTATCTTCATCCTCAGTAGATCATGACAAATTCTATCACTCGTACCAAACATCCGTATAAGTGTCATTTCTCTTTCAGAGTCCCAGTTTCTATTTGGGGCTCTAGGGAGTTGTCAATTACGACACCTGATGGTATTTTATATTATAATTGCTTGAATGACCATCGTCCAAAATAGTCCTAATTGTTGTCGTTGGCAACGACGTTGGTTCTTTGTGGTAGCCATGGTACTTAGGAACAACGTCTAAAAAGTGTCAATATGATGTAAATTATTGTTGACGATGAACAAAAAACGAAAACGTATATGTTCAACGTGAAAATAAAGGAAAAATGAGCTAACCCACCTCTAGTTATCAACTCAAAATGGCTCTTCAAAAGTAAGCAAACGGGTTTTTAAGTAAAAATAAATAATATTTGTAAATTCACGTAAGCACCTAAAACTGCCAGTTACCATTCATCCCACATTAGAGAATTAGGAATTTCAAACATTCATAAATCTTCACTCCCACAATTAAGTGTCAATTAGACTACAAGCTATGTAATACATTGGAATGCTCTTACAATCCACATAAAATGAATCTATTTCCAGCTAATCTCGTAAAGGATGGTTATTGGAAACACTACCTTTCTACCACATGTAGCATTCTGCACATTATTTACAAGAAAACTAGATTGTTTTCGAAAGCCTATGATATGAAACACTCAGGATATTTTTCATGTATTCATCTTTCGGTTAGTATATAGAAGGATTTCTAAGCTAGAGATTGATCCCTTCGGGTCTTGACCGTTATGTCCTTCTAATTGATTTCGATGATGGAGCATTTTCGTTGGCTCTATAATTGAAATGAGTAACAAGACATCTATGCAAAATACAACTATACAAGTGCTTGACACGACAAGATACTATCTTGAAAGGTAGTATCTAGCTTTTAAGTCCAACTACATTAAGTAGTGATTGCACATGTTCAAAAGTTTAAATTAATATCAAGGTGTTTGCCTCTAAAAGCCTTTGTGTAAGCATCAGCACTTTAAGTTGTATGAATCAATGAACAAAAATGAAGACATCTAAAAATCTGTTAAATAATATAAGATTTTAATGAAAATAAGAACCCACTTAAATAATATAAGATTTTAATGAAAATAAGAACCTACTTTGGGATTAGAAATGTGAAAGGCATAAAAAGATCATTAGTCCTACTAAAATTAAAAAGGTGCAACTTCACTTGAGGGGTTTATCGCATTAAGTTGTAAGAAGCAAGGCAATTTGGTTTCACTTGGTGTCTTCTATAAAAATTTCAAAAATTTCCTTTTCTGGTTTACAGAGTCATGCTTGCTTTAAAGAACTCAAAAGAAAACCTTAAAATCGTCAGGAGCTATTAAAAAAAGGCAAGAAAGTTGAGGTAATTAAAAGAAAGGCACATAAATGAGTATGACCCGTGCTTTGATCAATACTCCAATAGTATCAAGGCTGAGATCCTAAAAAATGCTGTAGTGAATTTTCTAGTCTTTAAACTTTTTAGCTCATCAAAGGACTATAATTCGAAAATAGAATCCAAGATATGGGTACAATTCACAATTAGTCCTCCTGAACTATTTTAGCAGCCAAACAAAATACTGAGAAGGTGGTGACAGATATAGCATTAGGACATTACATATTTATTCGTCTGCTTCTAGATAAACAATTTACCTATTCAAGTAGATCTACTCACACCACTACCATTTATATACACAATAATCCTGCCAAGTTAATGATATTTCCCTATTCTTTAACTTCATTGGAATTATTCCAATAGCAAATAAGAATGACATCAAATTATTTCAAGTTCCAAATTTCAAAACAAAAAATAATGCATATTCACTCACCCGTATTAAGCTTTCTGCAAATACGAAGCAAATTACAAGCATTTACCCAACCCTTCAACTCCCAAAGGGGAAAATAAAAAAGTATACACTACTTGCAAATATTATTTTTATGCAAGCCTTACCGAATTCGAGATTTCGAAGGAAAAAATAGAGAGAAACAAAGAGATGAGATCAGAACCAAAGAGCGTGCACTGTTAGTATTGATTACAATTGCATTCCTCTTCCGTTATTACTTTTTCTAGCAGGTTTTCCAATTTCAGGAGCTTCTATGTTTTCCTGGCTACAATCCACGTACTCCTCCATTTCAATGAAAGGGTCATGTTGAGATTTTTTTGGTTGACATCATTGATATTCCAGAAGTTGG